TACAGATTCCTTATTATGGAAACAGGGGATTTACGAGGCCATTACGCCACCCCCGCCCAGAACTCGGGCATTGCCCTGGACGCAAATAAACTGACATAACTGTCAGAGACTTTTGCCCTTTTGAAAACTCCACAAGATCCCAAACATTCCTGTTTCCACCGTCTGGATCGTGTTAACGTTGACGGCGGTTTTGGGGTCCCAATCACCTGACCTCAGGCAGGGCGCCTGCTCCAGACACGACCCTAATTTAAACATTGTCTGAAGGTGTATTTTCCTTTCACGTACAGTTGAAAGAAATATTCATTGCTCTCTTTAAGCAATGCGTTACTTTCATATGTACGTAGGTGCATTTACCATTACAATTGCTGCCTATTAATCAGATCGCGAAATATTGGAAGAGGGACACTCCTCGCCTCCTCATTGGAAAATTAGATTTTGCAACACCATAGAATGTACACTCATATGGAAAATCGCACATTCCTTTGGCCTTAAGCGATATTTGATTTATATTGGATGGCAAGAAAAAATTCATCGTAAAAAGTGAGCACATAAATATATTTTGGACTTTTATCATTTTTTTGCTGTCTCTTGGGGTGTCTGCGGGTTACTTTTTGGGGATGCGCGGAGCAAGTACCCTCACAAACGGTACGGATCGGCGCAGCGATCATTCTTCACTTCTTAGTTCTATTCTCACCAGTTACATAGCACGCCCTTACTATTATCTAAACTTTCACTACCTTACCACACATCTGAGGAGAGAGGTTGCAGCGCTTAGTACCTTTGTGCCGGCTGGACGGTGCCCGCTTGGTGGTGAGATATTGGTTGGCGGAAAAGCCCGCCTAGCAGACGGTAGGCGAGTCCAACGGGGAAAGATCGATCGTCAAACTTCCCACGGTAGGTAAACACATGAACTACACAGTACGGGAATAAGATAATCTTCGCAGTTGCGCGCCCGCGAATGTAACATCATCAAACATCATCTCACTAGTAAGAGAAAAATCTGCGCCATTCTGTCGCACCCAGTAGTTTAACCATCGTGTTAGAACAAAATGTACATCAAGTACATCAACAG